TTAATTTTAATCATTTTTCGTTTCTGTTTCGTTCTGTTATCTATTTCAACCGCTTTTTGAATAATTTAACGCTATACTTATAAGCAGGGCTCGGAAGTTCTAGCAAATGCATATTTTTTTTTGTTTCATCTTAGAACATCCAAAGTAAGATACAAATATGTTTCTCACTACTCGGATATCATACACAAAATTTAATTTTGCCTTTTTTTGCATATTTACGGTTTTTATTGCTATTTTGCTAATTTAGGATTTATAGTACTATTTTCGAGTATATTTTCACATAATGTAGGAAACAATCACATTTTGTTGATAATAATTGTATTTACTTGGTTATGTTTTTAAAAAATATTTTAATTATTGGAAATAAATAGACCTCATCAAATATTATTTTATGTTTTCATCGACAGTTTGATGTATTAATAGTTAGTGACGTCATTGTTATTTTCTTATATCATTGCATTAGATTATGAAACATTTTAATAATCTAGGATAATTTCCAAGGTAAATATATAAAATAATTTATTAATAAGTACATTTTTACAAATATATTTAAGTAATTTAACATTTTTGTTAACAGTTTATAATTCAATCAATCCAGACTGTGTCTATTGAGCCCTACAATTTATAGAATTACATTTTTTTCAAGTTAAATGCCTATTTTTTGATTTTTCGTGCTATTTATAACGCTTATTTTAGAGTTTTTGAGTGCATATTTAAGAGCTAATAAGTAACATTTTTAATGCTACAACTTCCGAGCCATACTTATAAATTATAACGTTGTAAAAACGTTTTGGTGCCCTGGTATGGATACTAAGTATCGATATAAAATGATCCACATTAAAAAAATTTGAAATGTTTATCTTACATATGATCGATTCCTTAAATATGGATACAGGGGGGGAGGGGCGATCGGGGCCTTCACTCCCCTCTAAAACACGCCTCTGAAGCCACTTAATTGTTCAGTGTACATTAGTCTGTAGTCAATCTATTATTTGTAAAGCAATTATTTTCCAATTTTTTACTGCATATTATACCGCATATTTTGATGTCTTTTAATGCATATTTATACATATATTTAAGTACTTTTTAACACATCAAGTTCCAAGCCTTAATTATGTTACGGACATACATAAATGTAGGTCCTTACGACTACCAGTAGGTACATAAGAGATCACATAAATCATAAATAGTAGAAATCGGGTGAGCAATATTGAAAGGAATAATTAAGACCCGAGGGTAACACGAACACATACTATATATAAGCTGTCAGGCTACATTTCAAAGTATTATAATAATTTCAATTAATAATAGCGCATAATAAAATATGGGAGATGAGCGAATATTAATATCATCGAGGTCAACCATTAAAATAACAAATTTAGCAATTATTTTTAACAGTAATTGGAAATAACTTATTCCATAGAAATGCGCGACTGATTCCACTAAACCTGAGTAATTAGCACCTTAGGGTAGTAACTGTTACGTGCCAACCGTTCGATCCGTGATTTCAGTGTCAACGTCTCAGTCAACGCTTGGTTGTAGGTGTAGTGAAGAATAATCAAGACTTTTTATAATAATTTAATTTATTTAAACTCATAAAATTATTCTAACTACAATTTCGTAAATTTTCTAAGTCCAAACAATTTGGATTTGTAGAAATTATTCTAAGTCCTAACAATTATGACTTATAAAAAAAGTGTGAAATATTTTTATGTTCGGATCATGACATACACTGACGTGAAGGTGCATAGCCAAAACTCGTCTGATTTGCCCTTGTTTTCGGGTCCCTTTTATATCTGATATATGTATATGTGTGTGTAAATCTCAAGTGTGTGTGTGTAAATGAAAACTGATAATAAAATAAAATAATTTCCTGTGAATTCTGTATTTGTGAATTATCTCTCAACCGGCCAATATTCAGTGACGCACATATCCAGGATGTGGTTACTGTCGTTCTTATTTTAATTTAATTTTAATCTAACTTGTCCACGGTTATGGTTTTTATTATCTAATAATTATGTGTAGTTTTGATTAGCTAAGTAATTGTAAATAGACTATGTGTAACTATCCGTAGATGTTAGAATATGTGTAGTCCATAGATGTGTTCACAGGAACTCCCTTATTATGTAAGTGTTCATGTGTAACAACGCAGGACGCGACATAACAATAATTTGGAATAAACTTGTTTCCATGGTTTTGCGCGGCCAATTCCCATGAGACCTGAGTATATAAGGGGGTTGGGAATAAACCAATATTATATTCAGATGTGTTTTATACGTGTATTAGCGAGCACCTACACGCTAGTTTATTTGTCAAATTAATTAAATTACCTGTACTTAGAGAAATTTTAATTAATAGTTTAACTTAGTTTGAGTATTTTATTTGGAATATTCCTGAAAAATATCACCACCTTTACGGTTAACTGCCGCACGTAACAATTATAAATTATTAAATATTAATAATAACATTTATTTATAAATTTATGACATTATCAATGATTGAATATTTTTATTCAAGTTGTGATTTAAATCTATTTTGCAAATGTTATATTGTGTTTTATACTTGGATGTAAAAAAAACCACATTAATTAGAGGTCCAAGGCCCGCCCCTAAATCCGACCCTGTGTTTTAGCATTTAGATCAGTGGTCGGCAACGTTTTTAGACACTTAGGCCATATTCACAAATTAAAAAGGACTCACGGGCCAGACAATACACAAAATTGATTTGATATTCAATGACATTTCCTAGTTTTGGAATTTAATGCGGGACACCGATTGCCGACCACTGATTTAGATTGTAGTTTTCGTTTTTTATAACTATTAATAATATAATTCGACTAATGATATATAAATCCCCTATGCAGAGTTTTTGACTTGTACTCTAGTTATTACAGTGCGCCAAACAACTACATTACTGTAGTCATAACTGTAGTGAAATATAATAAGATTTCCTTTTGTATTATTAGATAGGTAACTGTTAATATCAGATACGATATTTGTCTGGTTATACGGGATTACAAGAATAGCATAGATTTTCACTATATTCACTATTCAGAAATCACTATGTAGCTGCAAGCCTACACCGTTTTTATTTATTAATTTAAAGACTTCTGTAGTTGTGTTTATAACCTACTGGCTTCTACAATTACTTCAAGTTTTAATATGAGTAATTCTAGCCATAATACTAGTGGCGAAGCGTCATAGGAGACAATGAGACAATGTCTACCCACTTTTAATACGAATACATAATTTCGTTTTATTATATTTCATTTATTTTTATATAATATATACTTCAATATTTATCATAGTTTTACTTTTGTGCCGTACCGTATTAATATTCTTAGAATAGATTAGATTATCATTGCGCTCTGAGACATGTCTCGCGTTCATATTTATTATTTCATTTTAATATTCATTATTGTAATCGTCATTGCTTTTCGCGTTGATGCGTTATCGTTCAACGCAATTTTGTTATCGTAGTTATAGGTTGGTTTTTATTTTATGATTTATTTATTTCTGGCGTGATATTCGTATCTAAATATTAAAATATTGTACTATTGTCATTCGCCACTATGCCTGATGATTTAATTAATGAAATGTTGAATGATTGTAGTATATCTACTAATATAATAGTATAATATAATAGTAAACTACTAATACGAAAAAAAAATATGAAATAAAAAATAAAAGATCGTGTCCCTTTTATCATAAACACATATTAAGTTATAAATGGGGGAGGGGGGCTGTAACGTATTATTTTAATGTCTCCTCAACTTAAATACTCGTGCTTCGTCACTGCATAGTACTGATGGTAAAAGTGACCCAGAACCGCATAATGCATCTCTTTCGACTATTTCTCTGCAAATTGTTAGTTTACCATAGCCTAATTACATCAAATATTTTTTTTACAAAAGTATTTGAACAGTTTTCCAAAGACTTTTTTAAAGTATTTAAGTAGTATTTGAAATACTATACAATTAAATTATTTGAGTAGTATCTTAAATACTTGAAAAATGTATTTAAGTATTTACTTAAATACTTTTTAAAAGTATTCTTTACAGCTCTGAAAACAGTAAGCTCACTGACTGTGTAATTAGCGCACAGCTCAAACCATTGAACGGATCGAGCTGAAGTTTGGCATACAGATAGCTATTATAATGTATAAGATAACTAAATCATCTGTATATGCTAGAAGAGTATTCATCCCAACCAATTCTATTTCTCGTTTTTTATGCATGTCCTTTATCACTTCTTCCAAGGCATGATTGAATAGTACCGGAAATAGTGCGTCTCCCTGTCTTAAGACGGTCTTGCATTCAAATGTTTCGGAGGTTTCACCCATAAAACGCACTTTGCAGTATGTTTGTTGGTTACAGATCTCAACTAGTTTCACCAATTTTCTTGGTATACCGAAATGTCTTAGTGTAATCCAGAGTTGTTCACGGTCAATACTGTCATATGCTTGTTTGAAATCTACAAAAAGTATATGAAGGTCTTTATTATATTCGTAGAATTTTTCCATTACTTGTCTTATTATGAATATATGATCCGTCGTAGATTTTTCTCTTCTGAAACCAGTTTGATAATCTGTTAAGATGTCTTCCTCATATATTACTAATCTTCTTAGCAACGCCATCGATAAAATTTTGTAAGCTGTATCTAACAAGGAAATTCCACGGTCGTTTGTTACTATACCAGTATCTCGAATATAATAAAGTTACGAATATAATAAACGTTGGACGAAATCGAATTGTAACTTGTACGTCGTTTTAAAAACTATATCCAACACACCGACACACTTTTGGTAGTATAAATATTTGAAGGCCAGAGTACGACTATATTAATCTGAGTCCAATAAAGAAAAAATGAATAGACATATATGTTTATATATTTCTTCAATAGGTACACGTTAAGATGAAATAATAATAATATGAATGAGTTATAAAAAAAAAAAGAACAATTTTGTAATTAAAAAAAACTACACAAATATTACTAAACAATTTTATAATTTTAGTAATATTTGTATAGTTTGTTGAATCGTTATTCAATATTTGATTTGTTTTCGATGTATTGTTATACCATGTCATTAAGAAAATCTTGGACCTGTATCTAAGGCCCCGGTGAACGCTGCGCCGCCGACAAATCAGGAAACCGACTCGCAGCCGTCCGTGGAAGAATTACGTGGCCGGCACGGCGGACTTGTGATTGACGGGCAACCGCACGGGACTGTGGTCGGGATCGCTATCAGCCGCCGGACCGGTGGTACAAGTCGACGAAGGACAAAGAAACGCGGGGCAGGATCGCGATGATGAGCCGCCAGAGACTACTGTCGCCCGCAGGAGCAGGAACAGAATGATCGATGCTAGACAGACGAACGGCGGCACCGCGGACCGGCCGGACGACCCGTTGGAAATATTGCACAGCGGCGTCTCGCAGCACGCTTGGCACGCGTAGATCTTGATCCGTTCACCGATCACGATGCAACCGTCTTCGCATTTTCCCGAGCAGTTCCGCTCCAGGGACCACAGCTGTTGGCCGGAAGTGGCGCTCTCGTTGCTCGTCGTGTACGAGTACCGTTTCACCTGCAATAGACAACGTTGAAAATTCATTGCTATTTTTATTAATTTATTTATTTATTTATTTATTTTTTTTTTAATAAGTAATACGCTTAAAATAATTTATATTATATTACTATAAAATACAATATCCAAAGTATTTAAAGTATACAAGAGAATTAATAAATCAATATATGTTAAGGGTTATAGAAACCAAAATCTAAAATATAACTTTGGCATCCACATGTTAAACTTATGGAAGAACCTATTTAAACCACCATTGTGTAAGAAATGATCACTAACCCTCCCTCAGAAGAAAATCCTAGCTACGCAACTGCATATACATACATACATACATACATATATATATATATATATACAATAAAGAAAATTAAAGGATGAGCGCGTGGTAATAATTAAATATAGACCACATACTGGGTTGTTAGAAAAGTCACAACTCCTTATTTGGGAATTATACATTACTAGCCACAGTGGTGCTTTGAAGTTAATTTTATAATGAAGAAGTTACATGTATCGAGTACCCACCCTAAGTCAAAGTTTTAAATTCAAAGTCAAACTGTAATACTGATGTTTATTTTATTTTATTTTATTTCATATTTTTCATATGAACAATATTTTGTATGTTGATAGTTCCACACGTTTATTGCGATACCTTCAAATTTCAGAAATCGTGTGTACAATGTACTGATTTTTATTACCTATGCTTTTGTAATATGCCACATACTACTAAACAAATAAGCTTGGAATATATTATACCACATACAAAACAACGTTGTTCCTTTATTATTTTATATTTAAAATACTGAGAAAAGTACCTGTCAAAGTCTATTCATATAATATAAGACGGATTATTAAAATAAGTATTTGATAAATCACATAAGTAACAATCTTGTACCTTGTACGCCTGTATTTTAAATAAAGTAACGTACCTGTTAAAGTCTAATCTTATGATGTATTGAAGATTATTAAAATAAGTATTTGATAAATCACACAAATAACAATCTTGTACCTTGTACAAGGTTTAAATGTATAAATTACCAAGAAAATATAATGTTACGTACAAGCGTAATCTTACAAAAAATCATGCACCTGCAACAGACATGTAATAGAATAGAAACACCCTAGAACAGCGTTTCTTAACCAGGGGGTCGCGACCCCCAGAGGGGTCGCGAACAACTTGACTTGGGGTCGCGCAGGTCAAAAATAATAAAATGCTGATTTACAAAATGCACCTTTTTATTTAAATATTTAAGACTTTTTATATAATTTTAAATAAATAATTAGTGTGATCTCTGAATTTGTTTTACATTTAAAAGTTGCTTAATTTGTGGTTCAACATCTGAAACACATAAAAGTAAGTTATTTTCTAGTGATAACAAACGATTTCTGTACTTAGTTTTTATTGCCACCATGGATGAGAATCCTTTTTCGCATAAATAAGAAGTAGCGAACGGAATCAAAATTTTCAATGCCTCTGTTACCAAACTTCCATATTAATTTTTCCGGGCAATCCAAACCTTATTTAAATCTTGAAATCCAAATTGTAGCTATAATTTCTTATTAGCTGATAATTCTAACAGTTGGTTGTGAGTCTCAACTGGTAATTTGGCAACTGCAACAATATTTTCATCAAATGGATTAAGAACCCATCTATTTGAGAAGTCATTGTCGTTACACGAGAAATATTCGAGTAATTGAATTTTCAATTCTCTTAAATGTGTTTTCATGGTATCAAAAACACGATCAAGAATAGGACTTTTTAAGTTTACATTTTTTTCAATGTAATTTGATGTTAAATCAAATGCATCAAAATTTCGTTTTTCGAGACGAATGATCCAAATTCCAAGTTTTTTGATAAAAGCATTAACTTTATCTGACATTATTAGAATGTTCTTTTCACGGCCTTGTAAGCTTATATTCAAGCCATTCAAATGTGAAAATATACCACTCAAATAAGCCAAAAATAGTAATGTCTCATTATCTTGGAAAAAAGTTAAAAATGTGTTATTTCGATCTTTAAAAAATATTATTAATATTATTATTATTATATTAATTATTTCGCAACTCAAAAATCCGCGTTAATACTTTTCCTCGTGAGAACCATCTAACTTTGATATAGAAAAGCAGTGACTTGCGCTTGGAGCCCATTTCTTCACATAGTGCGGAAAACAATCTGCACTGCAGCGGTTGACTTTTAATATAATTTACTATTTTTACAGCTTCAAATAACACATTTTTTAAATTATCTGGCATTTTTTTTGCGGCAAGTGCATGCTTGTGAAGAAAACAATGTGTCCATTCAATATGTGGCATTAATTCTTTTAATTTTACTATTAAACCACTATTTTTCCCTGTTATTGCTCTTGCGCCATCAGAACACACTGAAATACATTTGTTCCAGTCCAAATTTTTATTTTTTGTTGTTTCAATAAATAATTCAAAAAGACCTTGTCCAGTAGCATGACCTGGTATTGATTTGCAAAAAAGCATATTTTCTTTAACTGTCCCATCACATTCGTAGCGAACAAAACATAAAAATTGTGCCAAGTTTGTTACGTCTGTTGATTCGTCAAACTGAATAGAAAAATACTCACTTGATTTTAGATTTTGTACTATTTGAATGTGCACATCAGTTGACATTTCATTAATTCGTCTTGATATTGTGTCATTTGAAAGTGGAATAGTTTTTAATTTGTTTGCTTCTTTTGCACCTATCATAATATTGACCATATCAATAACAGTGGGTAGAATGGGGTTCTCAGCAATCATGTGCGGCTTTGATTCCCTAGCTACCCTAAGTGCTACTAAATATGATGCTTCAAGTATTGCGGTGTTATTCTGACTTGATTTAAGAATACAAGTTTGTTGATTTTTTAAAAAAAGTGATTTACGCTCAAAAAAATCAATTGGTTTTTTTATTAAAAGTGGGTGATTTGTTTCCAGATGTCGAATTAATTTTGAAGGTTTCATACTTTCTTGAGATAGAACTTGAAAGCAAACAACACATTGCGGCTTATTATCAAGTGAAATAAACCCATACTTCAAATACTCATTGTTATATGGCCTGAATTTTTTTTTCGCTGGTTCATCAGAAGTAGATGAAGCATTACGTTTTGTTATATATTTATCTATAATCATTAATTCAAATTACACAAAACTAAAAAGATCCACTAAAAACCAACTTAATAAACGCAATATCACATGAATTTAACAACACGAGCGACGCGCGACTGTCATCGATAAATTAATCGTTTCATAACACACAAAAATAATATTAAAAATAACAATAATAAGCAGTCGATTAAATGTAGATATCTTATCAATAAAACGGGCACTACTTCACTAATGGAAATTCCCAACGACCCGATACATAACTTTCTAACTTGATAAGCTTAAGTTACTGTATATGGTATTTATACATTGGTATTTAAAATGTTATATTTCGTTTGGTTAATGATAGGATATTTTTACTGTTTAAATTTTTACCTAACCTAGATGGAGGGGGGTCGCGAAGTGATTGACTATATTTTATACCTATTTTAGGGGTCGCGACACTAAAAAGGTTGAGAAACGATGCCCTAGAAGGAAGTCATCTATCAACATATAAATAGACTTCGATCATGAGTGTATTTTAAGGGGCCAAAGGGGCGATAGGCCCTTGGCTTCAGATCGATACCAAATATCCTGTCATCCAGTATAGACCCTCCGCTTATATTTGTCAATTTCATTTTACTCTATCTTTATTGCTTCAGTTAAATTTAATAAACACCAATACTACATTAACAAGTATTCTTGCACGTTTATTGATTTCCATACTTATATCTTTACAACTTACCACCTTGTCAAACTCACCACTCGGCACGCTACACTTTATACAATTTGAATTACCTAATTATTACAGTTCAATTGTACTTGTAGGCAGTGGCGTATATATGGGGGGGGGTCAGAACCCCCCTCCATGAACCTGATATGGTAAATTAACTTTTACATAATACACGGTTTTTTCTTTAACATTTTTATATTTTAGAATTTTGACTACGAATAGTATTATTGAAAAGTATTATTATGGGTATTGCAAAGATGATTCTACATCAATTGAAAATTCACAGAATCTTTTAAGCGATGATAATGTAATACGTAATTTAATTTACATTAATGTTAACTTTGGAACTCTCGCAGATAATATTATCAAGATAGAAACCTTAGGATTTAGTCTTTATGATTCGATAAAAAGTATTTAAAATATTAATATTAAAATTGATTCAACAGTAGTTAATAAAACCGGAAATGAAATAAAAAATAAATTTAAGGCTGTACTTGAGAAAAATACTGAATCTCAAACAATAATTTAATTTTAATTGGTGAAAAAGCTTCAAAAGAATGTTTTCCTGATGACCTCAGTATTGAAGTTTAGCATTTTAAATTTATTCCAATCATTTTAGCGGACGTAGAGAGAAATTTTTAAAAATATAAATATTTATTAGCCAATAATCGTCGTTCGTTTAATATTTCGAACATCAATTATGGTCTAATAGTGCAATGCAATAATTTGTATTTTAGAAATTAAAAAAAAAATATATATATTTTTATTAATTTTAAACCATTATAACTGTTTTAAGGTCATACATTTCCGAACTTCGCCTTGATCATTATCATAATATTGACCATTATGTGTAAATATAATGATAAAACGTTTGAAAATGAATTATTTACCATGCATGTTTTTCTATCTCCTGTACATTTTGTTGAGAATTTCGAATACTCGTCTTTGTCTGTGAAATTGTTGCAGCTCTTTCCATTAACCATTGTGTTGCATTCATAACAAAACATAAGGTTTTCTTTTTCCAATGCAGCATTCGTCTGGTAGATTTTCCCCGTCAAATCCACTGCAATATAATAATAAATAGATAGAAATAAAAAGTCCATTATTATACAATAATAATTTAGATGGTTTAATATAATTATCGACAATGTTGGATACAACTAACTATTGATGTATCCGACGGATACTATTCGTATCACCGCGATTGCGGTCGAATTTTCCAAACAACAATCGAATTCTCTAGACACGATAAAACCCATCCCTTCAGTGACCTATTCGCGCCGGCTTACCAAATATATACGAGTCACCGCGACCGGTCGGTGTGTTGTGTTCCTTTACGTTGGTTCTTGCCGCGTGTATATTTCGCGATACCGTGTTGTTTATGTTACGTTGGTGCTTGCCACGTTACATCTATCGTCGGCTGTTGCGGTGGCGCAGTACGCGGTAATATTTGTTTATTATTCGTTTATTGGTATAATAATTATTATTATATTTATATGATATAATTATTCATTTATTGTTTTATTTTATCTTATTTTTATTACACGTTCATTTATTAATACATTATAACCTTTACTTGATTGTAATTTATATTAAATATACTGTCGCGTCCCGCGTAGTCACATTGTCGCGTACTGCGTAGTCACATAATATAAAACACACATTATAAGAGGTTCTCATGAACATCGAAACTGGGCGTGTGAATAAGTTAAATTGTTCACATGGTTATCTATTTAAATAAGAATATGAATATCGGAGTCACATATACGTGGGTGGTTGACCACATCCTGGATCTTGTAATAAGTATGGGCCGGTCAAGAGATAGTACACGCATGCAGAATCAATAGAGAATTATCATATTTTAGAGCGCACACACCGAATCAACAACGACTCATCACATTTATCATATTTTATTATCTTATTTCATTTACACACACACACTTGGGATTTTACACACACACATGCCATATCACATATAAAAGGGACCCGAAAACAAGGGCAAATCAGACGAGTCTTGTCTATGCTGCACTGAGCACCTTCACGTTAGTGTATGTTATGGTCTGGACTTAGAAATATTTCCAATTATTTTATAAGTTACAATTGTTAGGACTTAAATAATTTCTATCACTAGAATATTTACAGAATTTTGTAGTTAGGATAATTTTTATAAGTTAAATAAATTTAATTATTTTAAAAAGAAGTCTTAATTATTCCTGACTACACTTCCACTCAAGCGTTGACTGAGACGTTGTAACTGAATTAACGGATCAAACGGTTGGCACGTAACAATACATAAGAAAGTTTTACATATACAGTCCACTCTTTTTTGTCGGAGCTTGGTTACCCCGAGCAAATAGACTTGTTCGGGATCTCGCTCACACAGACCATCTCCATATTCAAGAAAAAGTTTTTCTACGATGAGAATAATTAAAACCTATAAGAGGGTTTGCTATGACCGGAAAATAGTTGTATATGCCGATCACTTCAAAGTATACAGACGTAACATACAAAAATAAAATAAACGTAACATTTCAAATAACACAATTTTTTACAGTGACCGTGTCGAATAATCACCATATAAGACCTTTTTTATTTTCTAACGTCAGAACTACGTCAGAAGAATTTATGTCAAATTGCAATAAAAGATATTAGAAAAATTATATTATTTTGCCTACTTATAGTTGTTGACTAGGGGACGCACAGTGAGCCAAAAATTAAAATAGTTGGCCAAAAATCTAATTTTTTCAAAACTAGTTAAAAATAATATACTATATATTAATTAAACTATATTTTCATTCTTAATTGATTTTTTTAGTTATAAAAGTATACAATATAATTCTGTTTCCTGGGGAATAAAATATTTTTAATAATAATACATTTTTTTTTTTTTTTTTGGTGTTAACGTCCTCTAGAACTATTTCAAAATACATCCAGCCTTCCATCAATCTCGGTCAGCTGCTCGCATCTTCCAATCATTTCCTCCTAGCTCTTCCACATCATTTTTTACATCTTCCCATCTCATTCTCGGTCTTCCGATGGGTCTTTTTCCTGTGGGGTTCTTTTCAATTACTGTACGGATTAATGGGTTTTGGTTTCTCCAAGCATGTCCTGCCCATTTTAGTCTCTGTTGCGTGCCGGTATATGGGTACCAGACAGTGCAACGAGTGATGAGCACACTCAACTGTACAGCTTCGTAGTCAATGTAGAATAATGATAGTATTTAAATAAATAACTCAAGACTTTTAAAATATTAACTTTATTGAAATATTTCTAAGTACAATTTTTTTAATTTGTAAAATTATTCTAAGTCCAAATAATTAATTTATAAAACAAACTGGAGTGAAGGTACATGCATTAACAAGATTAAAACACATCTTTCCTAGGGCCTGTTCGGGACCACCTTATTAATCCGATGGACGCAAGTGTGTATGTGTATATGAAAAACAATAATAAAAATCAATAATTTCTTATTGATTATATGTGTGTGTGTGTGCTATTTCCCGTCCAACCCATAATTAATGACGCAAGGATGTGGTCACTATTGTTTTGATTGTCTATTTCTTATTTTAGATTTCCTGTATAAAATGGTTATATGAACTACTTATGATTCCATAAGTAACCATAATATTTAACTTATCCACGGGTGTGGTTTTAATATTCCTATGAAATTATCTCTTTGTTATTATCTAATTACGCAACAATTATATTATTGTAATGGAAATCGTTATAGCATTTATATATATCTGTAACATTATGATATGTATGCCCATAACATCTCTTAGTTCTTATTGCTTCTACGATGTTCGGTTTTTGGTATAATTAGTCCAATTCCTCATTTTTCCTTATCCTCCAGTCATTAGTGACACTGTCCTTCACAGGTCCAAAAATTCTTCTCAGAATTTTTCTTTCAAAAACTAGGAGTCTTTTCTCGTTGGTTTTTCGAATTGTCCAAGTCTCTGCTCCACATGTAATAATCGGTCTTATCAATTTAGTATATAATTGCTTGTTTAATTCTCTTGACAAGGATCGAGCTCCTAACAGATTCGCTAGATTGAAAAAATATTTATTTCCAGCCTGAATTCTTGCTTCTATCTCTTTTGTTATTTGATTATCTTCTGTTAAAATCATTCCCAGATACTTGAACTGATCCATTCTATCAAAATTATACTGATCTATCCTTAAGGAGAGGCCTAATCTCGCGTTGTTTTGCCTTCTAACAACTATTTATTTGGTTTTTTCCTCGTTGATGCGTAAACCTATTTTTACTGATGACTTTTCTAGCCACCTGAATAGTGACTTAAGTTCTTCTTGTGATTCTGTTACCAGTACCAGGTCATCTGCGTATGCCAATAGTCTAATAGTATGACCCTATAAGTTTACTCCTTCATGATGTCCCATATTAATTTCTCTTACAAATTTTTCCAATGCAACATTAAATAATATAATAAATAAATAAATAATAATAATAATAATAATCATAAAATAACATAATATTATTCCTTAATAAATATTCGTTATTACAATATATTTAAAAATAGTTGATTTATGTAAATTATACTATTCTGGATATTCATCACTATTATCATTTGTGTAATTTTAGGAATTAAAGCCATATTTTTAAATTTTTTTATTTTATAAATAAAATTTGTTCACAATAAAATGATTGATTCACCAAAATTTAACGGTTTATTACAGCGAGTTGCGCAAGAACACATTTTTGTTCAATAGATAATGGTTAATTAAATGATACCAATATATCTGTGAAGCTCCGTGAAAAATATTGTTAATTTTATAGACTTAAAAAACATATGAATTTATCTTTGTAATATTTAGAAACGTATACATTTCCATTATCATTACGGGTAGATAATAATCGTTATATGATAATTGGGTCATTAAATAATATCAGTAATTCATATATTATATATATATATATATATATATATATATATATATATATCAAAAAAAAAACATTTTGGTTGACTTTTATTTTATTTGGTGGGGCCGAAAACGGGTCGATGAAAAATATTACTACTAATACTATTATACATGTACAAATATACAAATAAAAGTAAATAAATATAATATTGATACTATATATTTAAATCTAACTTAAACCTATAAATATCATAGTAAATTCCTTTAAAATGAAGAAGAAAAAAAAGTATTTACAGTAGGGTTACATAATTTTAAATGTATTATTTCAATTGAATGATTAAAAATTAAAAATTAAATTTTATTCAAAATTTCGAGTGTAAATTTTTTTTTTTTTATGCATATTTTAACATATTAGTGCATATATTTGTGCATGTTAAAGATCTTTTAGCCCATATTTGATTGGTTTTTGATGCATATAATTCCGTGCTATTATGATAACTGATTGTTCAGGTTTAAATTATCATATATAGTCCCTAATAAAACCCCACGGCAAAGTTGATTACTGATATATCATATTTTTCCACAATAATTATACGCGAACCATGTAAATAGTATAAAATTGCTAAAATGTTGTATAACCAGGTATGCTTCAAAACAGATTAAAAATAAAAGGAGGCGGAGAAAATAAAAGAGATAAAAATCGTAGAGTTGATAGAAGAGAGCAAAACATGTGTAAAATTGGATAGTATAATATATATTATAATTTTAAATATTATTAAAGAACGTCGAAAAAAAAGTTGGTGATGTCGTGTCGGTTCTTTCAAAGTTGAGGTAATTGTTTAGTTGGAACTTGGATATAATCATGTGGGGGCCGCTGTATTCTATTTTTCCCGGACCGGTCAGATTACGCCTATCCGTCCCTGTACAAGTCACAGCAGTAAACCCAAGGATTACGGATCCACTGCACCAATATTAAAAGATTACGTTTTCGAAAACCGAACGCGTTACGACTCTCGGTCATCGTCAGTTCGGTCCGATGATAAACTAAAGGGACGCGCAAAAGATTTTAACAACGCAGGCTCACTGTGAAACTATAAATAACGGACAATTACACTGATGGTCAATGAAGTTACGAACACAGCGGCAGACCACAAGCAATAATAATTATTATTACTGTAATACTAAGTTTTGTGAATTTGTACCAATTTCGGTCGAGTAAATTTCATACGACATTGTTGTTTATTAACTAATTTTATTTAGGATCACACGACATATTTTCGTCGGAACCGGATTAACGCGAAGCGTACAATATTTCAATAAATTTACGACCCGGTTGGGTGGTGAACTTTTTGTTTTTGGTACACCTCATACACCTTTTGACGCGTGATAAACGAAAAATCGAATGTTCGATTAATAGACGCCTGTTGTCGAAGTCGAAATATTACGTTCGTCCATCGTTTCACCGGATCCGACGGTGGCTAACCCATCGTGCGGCTCGTCGACGCGGAAACTCTTTAGGTCCACGAGGGTAAACCTAAAAGACGGTTTGACGGTTATTAACGGCCGGAAAGGACTCACCGCAGTGCGCCAATACGACGAAATTGTGAACGGCCAGCAGCTGTTTCCATACCATCTCGTTGTATCATTCGACCACGGGCGCGCGTACAAAGACCGTGCAAGATGAAGACGATTCTAAGAGGGATTGTGCGACAGTGGTGGGCGACGACAACGACGGATGGACAGCAATGGACAACGATACCGCGGAACGCCTTCGGGATGAAAAGGGATCGGTGCGCGTGCGGTGGCGATACCCCGTACAGTCGGACGGCGAGAAAAATCAATAGCGCTGGCGCGGGACGGACGTGATAGGCTCGGCGCCGTAGGTCGCATGTCGACGTGCAGAGCGCGGGCAATCGGTCCGGACGGTGGACCGCGTGCGATTGTACAGAGCGCGCGCTCGTTATTGTTTCTCGTCTTCGGCGTCCCGTCCGAGCAACAATACTTGACGTATATTCCGTTACCGTACGCGACGGTAAGGGATTCCGTCCGTTCTGCCACCGTCTCTTTTCGCGGCCGTAAACGGACTAGAGTATTGGCTGTACGCTCGCCGTCGGCCCGGCCTCCGAAAGTCGCACGCAGGGCCAAGTGCAGGCACTATCTCTAGCCGTGCTCAGGTTCAAAGGTCGGAGGCGGACGCGTTGGTTCGCGCGACTAGAGCGGGTCCGCAAGTTGTGTATAGCGGTGTTTAAACACTCCCTTGTAGTGAGGGAGAGTACGTCTCCCCGAACAGCGAATTTGCGTTAAAAGATTGCTCGTAAGAACCAGAGCTGTGACGGCGGCGAGTAGAATCCCGTATTAACACAATAGACGGCGTAGTAACTTCTCGTCGCCGAGTCATGTTCTACCAATGACGCTTAACACAAATGTTACGTCGGGAGACGCGGCTCAATCCAGGTCAACACGTTCAACGTGCTACTAGGTGTATATACTTTAAACCATAAACTATAATACTAATATATTAATAATGTAAAATTGACTGAAAACTATGTATCGAATATTCAACGGCCGAGAAGTGAACAATTATCACTGATAACAGTTTTAAAAAATATTATCTACATAATAGGTAAGAATAATACAATTATTTTTTGGTATATGTTATCAATGATTACAATAACATGAGTTGTAAGCAATGAATTGTAAATTATTTTTAAGTTTGTATTGAAGAAAAATTAGTTTCGCCCCCCCCCCACATGGCCCAACTCAAATACGCCCTTGTTTCTGTGTATTATTCCCACAAGATGTGTCACTTCCGTTCGTCTGTCGTTCGATTGTTTTAACATATACATGCTCACAGTGGCGTACATTCAATCTTGCTATGGGGGGGGGGGGGGTTAACAAAAATAATCGTTACCTTTTTTTTTCGTTGCACAGATAGGTAAATAAGATAAATATCTGCTGTAAATAGATATTATTTTATTCAACTTTTTTACCAATTTACAGTTTACTTTTACATTACAGTAAATTAATAGCTATTGGAATATAAAAACAGTATAGTTAACAAAACTTTTCAAACACCTATCAATATAATTATTTAATTATCATATTTGTATAGTTGTTTATTTTAAGTTCAAAGCGTAATAATGAAACTACGAATATATTACACGTCATCAATAATAAAACAATTTTCTTTTTTTTTTTTTTTTGGCCTGGGGGGTTTGTACCTGGGCCCCCCCGTATGTACGCCACTGCATGCTCATATACATATACATATATACATACATACATACATACATAAATTTATAATAAACTATAAATCATCAACTGTTTGTTACGTGCCAACCGTTTGATCCGTTAACTCAGTTACAACGTCTCAGTCAACGCTTGTGTGGAAGTGTAGTCAGGAATAATTAAGACTTCTTTTTGAAATAATTAAATTTATTTAACTTATAAAAATTATTCTAACTACAAATTTTGTAAATATTCTAGTGATAGAAATTATTTAAGTCCTAACAATTGTACTTATAAAATAATTGGAAATATTTCTAAGTCCAGACCATAACATACACTGACGTGAAGGTGCTCAGTGCAGCATAGACAAGACTCGTCTGATTTGCCCTTGTTTTCGGGTCCCTTTTATATGTGATATTGTATGTGTGTGTGTAAAATCCCAAGTGTGTGTGTGTAAATGAACAAGATAATAAAATAAGATAATTTCCACGAATTGTGAGTGTGCATGTGCGCTAATGGCAATAAAATATGATAATTTCCCATCGATTCCGCACATGTGTGTATTACACAATCGCTGATGCAGGGACACAGGATGTGGTCACCACATCATTCCGATAAACTATTTTATTACAATTTCCCAGAAAAACGTTTATGTGAACCCTTTCACTTGTCCACGTATCTGCGACTCCAATATTCATATTCTCACTTAAACAGACAACCATGTGTTAACAGACAACACGCCCAGTTTGATGTTCATGAGAACCTCTTATAATGTGTTTTTATATTATGTGACTACGCAGTACGCGACATGTTAAACAAAATTTAGTAGAAAGAGTGACTTATACGTTTGCACAATGTTTTATAATTATTTCATATTTATTAGCGTCTGGCATATTACATATCGTTCGACTTCTCCATTTTATGAAAGTGAATTTTACAATGTGTTATATTTTATTATTCTACAAATCTACAGCTAATCTTTTAATTAAATGAAACACTACAAATGCGTTTTTTCATGTACATTATTATTTAACATGTTGCATATTACAATTGTTATACTTCTACATATTACATTTTATTATTCTAACTTATAATATGTGACATATTACAACATATTTAAGCACTTCTATGAATATTTTAATGAGTGTTGCGTGCCGTCGTCCAATCGTAAACGATGTTGAAGTTTTTAGGAAAATATTCCAAATAAAAATACTCAAATACAATTAAACTCTTTATTTTAAAATTTTTTCTAAGTACAAAACAATATTTAAAAAATGATCTGGCGTGAAGGTGCTTGCGACTACTCGTATAAATCACATTTGAATATTGGTCTATTCGGGACTCCCTTACATACCCCGCTTCTCATAGTTGACCCGGACTTAGTGAATGCTAAATCACTTATCATATGTGATTCATCTTAGCATTTAGATTGATGTTATTTGTGCTTCATGTAACCAGTTGTCCTCGTGAATCCCGCATTTTGCATATATCATACTGGTGCCTTTCTATAATAGTTGGTTTTAATTTATTATGAACTAATTGTCTTCTCTACCATATAATTAGTAAGGACCCACATCTCCGTAATATATCATACTGATGTGTTTCTGTAATAATTATTTTTTAATGTCACACTTTGAAATGTAGCCACATGATTCATATATTATATGTTCATGTGTCACCCTCTAATTAAATTAAAATTCCTTTCTATTCATACGAATACGAATATTATATTAATAATAATCATTTCCCGATTTCTATTATTTATGATCTACGTGGTCCCACCCATGTCGTATGAGTCGTAAGGACCAACATTTATGTATGTCCGTAACATGAGTATATTATAGAACTTATAACTACCATTTTTAGAGCTACATATAAGTTATGAGCCCTGGTTATTACATTATTTATTTATAGAACGTATTTCTAGAGAAATATTTTACTTTATTTTTCTATTTTGATAAATGTTAAATATCTCTTTTTTTTAATCTTTATATTAATGGAATACACTCGATTACCACCGCATAAACTATATCATATTTATAATTATTTGATCGATAGGTGATCGATATTGAATGACCCATTTTTTATGTAATTTTATGGACTGCGTAATTGACCCAGACATCCTAGACCCAGACTCTGCACATCCGTGTGTCCATTCATTGCTTATTAATATTCATCGCCAAGAACATTATTTATGGCAGTGTGACTTTTGTAATTGTATTCTTTTCCTTCCTTTTTGATTATTATTTATTATTTATGAACAGGGCTCAGGACTATGGAACTTAAAATCATTAAAATAAGGGCTTAAAAACATCATTATAAGCATTAAAATAAGCATTTAAAAAATTTAAAATTAAGCAAAATATTTATTAAAAAAAAAAAACAGTGTAAAATTCTAACTAAAAAAATCAAACAAAATAAAAATAAATCTTCACTTTCAAGACTTTAAGAATTTTAATGGATTTTTTAAGGGATAACTGTTTTCTCTGTTCTTGATCATTCTGACGTTTGACACTTAGTTATATTTTCAGTGTTGGAATGTCTTTGTTAACCAGTGACGCACAGAAAATTTTTGACAAGGGTGTCGAGATTATATATTTCGAGGTACCCTGCCACATCCACCAGTAAAATTTGAGTTTAGACATAGTATAACTCTTATTTTTAAGTGTTTTTGGTTTTTTTTTTACTAACAAAAATACTAAAAATAATTTTTTAAATAAACCTAATATTAATTATTTTTCAATTTTCTGGGTTGTCGTGTCCCATGTACTTAGATAACAATAATACTATGATCACCCTACATTACGAGACATTTAATAAATTAAATGTATTAAGTATAAAATAATTGGATTAATTAAAGTATACAGATTATCACACAAACGTCACACCTACATAGAATTGAACAAGGAAATAAATTAATAATTATTAGGATAACACACAAAATATCACATAACATTATTTAATAAGGAGCAACTGTATTGATTGAACACACCCGTGAAATAAATTAAATAAATTATATTTTATCGGTTCACATAATCATTTTATGGGAAATTGAAATAAAAATAGTTAATCAAAACAATAGTGACCACATCTTGGATCTCTGCGTCAGTAATTATGGGCTGGTCGGGAGATAGCTCACACACAATCAGATTCAATAAGAAAATATCATATTTTTATTATAATTTTCATATACACACACACACACTTGGGATTTACACACCCACTTGCATATATCGGATATAAAAGGAACCTGAAAACAAGGGCAAATTAGACAAATTTTGGATTTGCGACATTGAGCACCTTCATGCTAGTGTATGTCATGGGCTGGATTTAGAAACATTTAGAAATATTTTTATAAAGTTTAATTGTCGGGACTTAGAATTTTAACAGCTAATTTTAATTTATTGTACTTAGAATAATTTAACAGTTTAATAAACTAACTAATCATAAAGATTATTAATTACCGATTTCATTATTATACCATCATACAAGCGTATTTGTCTATGTATATTGATTATATAAAGAGTTATTCTAATGCAAAGGTTCCCAAACTTTTTTTTTCCGCGATGCCTTTTTTTTACTCAATTTAGCCACGGTGC